CAGGGAGGAGCCCCGGGGGGGTCCCAGTGTGGGGGGAGTAACTCCAGGGAAAAGATGGGCAATTCCGAATGCGTTCAGCCCCAGACAAAGCAAACGGGGGTGAATATGTAATATATTATACAGATACCGAATATAGAGTAATTATAGAATGCACATTATGTATTATTATCTATACTATAGATATTATCTCTATATAATAGCTATAATATAGACATAGATCCATAATATATAATATAATTTCTAGACTATAGATAATATCTATAGTACAGATAATTATGGTGTGTAGCATATATTGTATATTATATATATTGAGTACATATTGAATATAAATTGTATGTGTATTAAATAGCTTTAATGTATATAACATAATATACAATAACATAAACCACACATTCTATCATTATGCTTTACAATATGGCGTATAATCGGTATTCTATACAATAATACCTATCTGTAATCTATCTCCTATGCCATATAGAGAGAATTGCAATATAAAGATGTCTTAGAAAAGCTGCAGTTAGGGAGATGAGGTTCACGACCCCCAGCCTCGTCGGGGTATATTCCCTGCCAGGAGCAGCATTTTGGCCCAGGGAGGCATCAGCCAGGGGGTCTGCAGACAAAAATACTTACCAAAAAAGAAACTTAAAGGGTGTTTTTATACTTTAAAAAAAAAAAAAAAAAAAAAGCTATTTTTCCCACCCCCTGGGCCTGCTGCAAATGGCTTAACAGGAGGTTGAGGGAGCGAAACAAGCCTTTATTTGTTTCAGCTTTTTATTTGTTTCACCTCTTCGTTGCTCCTGACTCGTATTTGTGCTGGTTTTTTGGAGCCTGCTTTCCTTTCGGCTGAGGAAAGCCCGTGGAAGGGAGCGCTCGCTGATTGATTTCATTGATTTTCACAAAAAGCAGTTTTCTGCAGGTTTCTGACCCTCAGTTCTCTGTGTTACCCCCCCTGTTTCTCTGCTCTCCCCATCTTCTTCTTCAGGACGCTGAGGGCGGGAATACAGCCGAGGGGATGCGAGGTTATTTTGGGGCAGATAAGTAAATATTTACATCCCAGCCAGCTGTCCGAAGGGATTGATTTTGGAGCAGGAAACGTGGATCCCTGGCTGGTTTTGTGCTGTACCGCCCCGATGCTATAGCCTCCATCCGTATAGCCGATGGTATAACATCTCCCTGTTCATCCCACATCTGCGTCTTGTTTCCATGGCGGGAGGACAGGGCATCCCTATGGCTCTGGGTATCATGGCCCATTTTTTTTTCCTGGCTTTTTTTTTTTTTTTTTTTTGACCTTTTTCCCAAACCCGCAGGCCCCTTGGGAAATGGGAAAGAGCCCAGCTCTGCAGCCATGGGAGCCACGCTGGCTTTGGGGATGCGATGTCTAGGCTGCCCGAGGATGCAGAGCCAGCTCCATGGGCTCCGTGTTATGGCGAAGGAGGGGAGACACCACCCCACCCCCCTCGCCAAAATCACCCAGTGTCCTGGCTGCACCCCTGCTTGTACACACAGGCTGGGGTGGGTCATGGAAACTTAACGCTGTGTTAAAAAAATAATAATATAAAAATAAAGTACCCACCCCTTGTTCTGCCTATGGAAAAAGTTATTTGCAGCATTGAAAATGTTCTTTGTGGCAAGGACCCTGATGGAGCCTGAAAGAGATGAGATGTGGGGATGGAATATTTTGAGATGGGGACCACAGCTGCCTTAATAAATAGCGCTAGCGAGCCTTTTGCCCGTGCCAGGGAAAATATATATATTTATATATGTATATCTATGTTGCTGTAGGAGTGAATTTAAAGGCTGCCACGCCGGCGTGGCCTTGCCCGACCGCCCCAGGCTGGACCACATCATTTTCCCCCAGAAATCAGGGGGCTGCATCCCCATCGACGCCTCCTTCCCCCCAGGGCTGGGACCTGCAGCC